CTCGGGGCCTGGGCACTGTCCCTGAGCTTCTTTTGCTCAAGGCTAGCACTCTACCACTTGAGCCACAGCACCAACTTCTGGCTTTTTCTGTTCATGTAGTACTGAGGACTTAAACCTAGGGCTTCATGCATGCTAGGCAAGCACTCTACAAAGAAGCCACATTCCCAGCCCTGTTTTCCTTTTTGAAAGTCCATGTTAGGAGGTGTGATTAGGTAAGGCAGGAGGTGTGCCTGTCCTCCTCAACATCCCGCCTCCCACCCTGTACCCTTGACCCCTCTGTCACCTTCTGTAGCTCTGGCCCTGCCAATCTCCCAGCCCTGGATGCAGGCTGACCCCATAGCACAGGACAGAGGGAAGAACTGGGACTGTTGGAAGAAAAGATTCAGAGGTGACGAGAGGCGAGGCTCTCCAATATCGGGCCCCACTATACACCAATGAGGTCAAAGTATAGGGGGAGTTCCTGGGGACAGAGAGGGCAGAGCCTTGAGGAAGCCCTGTGACCGTGGTTAGGCAGGAAGCGCAGTGTTCACAGCTGATGTTTCAATCCAAAGTCCAAAACAGGCAGAGTTCCAGGTGACAAGGACAGTCTTGGGAGAGGAGCGAGGGAAGGAATTCTAGCTAGCTCCTTAGGAGCTGCTCCAGATGCAACAAAACATAGAAGAATCTTTTTTTTCTCCCACACCGAACAACTGCATGGATAAGTACAGAGACCGGAGTCCTGTGTGTGTGTGGGGAGGGGAGCAAGTGGTTATGAGATTCCTCATTTAAATGACAATAGGGACACTAGCCATGGCACTAAAGAATTGGCTACAAAAGGCTTGGGGGAGCTGGCATCCAACAGAAGATATGGTGGTCTTGCTGGTGTGTGGGCTGTGGTGGCGGACATCCCAGGGATGCTGTTGCAATGCTGCTGCATGCAAGGGCTGTGCCATTCATGTCTCCATTTCACAGCTGAGTAGCTCAAGGCACAGAGAAGCCAGTAACTCCCCAAGGTCACATGCTAAGTGCATAATGGATTTAAATGTCGGCAATGGGATGCCACCCTCCGGATGGCTGCATTTACTGCCACTTGAATGGAGGGTAGGCTGGGAGGAGTGGCGGTAGAACCGAGTGCAAGGTGAATGCCAAGTATAAATTTTATGATGCATGATGTTATTGGGGATGACTTTGCTGGCAACAGGGAGTTCATCTGTTCATTGAGCAAATACTGCTGCTGCACAGGCAGACGCTGGGAGTCAAAAGATGATTCCACAAAACCCATTGTATGCCATAAGGAACTTTAATTCCAAAGAATAATGAGTTAATGAGCAGATGCCTGCCTTTAATTACAAAGGAGTCGGAGTGAATGAAGGATGCCTGACTCCTTGATGGAAACTGTAGAAGTGAAGTTCTGGCGGCAGCTGTCAGGAGCTGGAGCCGTGCCCCCACCCCACCCCACCCCGCCTCAGCCAGGGCCAGCAGAGCCACAGACACCAACTGCCCTGCTTGGCCATGGTTGGATAAAAGGTTCCTTTGGCCTTGGTTATGTGTCTGTGTTGTTCTCAAATAAATTTGTTCTCCAGGACTATTCTCATTCTTCCCGTACTTTCCATCTTGGAGTCACTCTTCCTATTTGGTTTTTCTTGTTTTTGTGTTGGTAGTGGGGATTGAACGCAGGCCCTTACATTCTCACTTGGCTTTTTCCTTCAAGGCAGGCAGTCTACCACTTGAGCTACAGCTCCACTTCTGGCTTTTTGCTGGTTAATTAGAGATAAGAGTCTCATAGACTTTCCTGCCCAGGCTAGCATCGAACCTCAGCCCTCAGATTTCAGCCTCCTGAATAGCTGGGATTATAAGCATAAGCCATTGGCCTGAGCCATCAGCACCTGCCTTAGGCCTTGCATGTTTGCATGTTCAAGGTTGTTCTACCATTTGAGCCACAACTCCATTTTCTTGGCTAATCCAGGATGAGTGTCTCAGATTTGTCTGCCTACACTGGCTTCAAATCTCAAGCTCCTGAGTAGTGAGGATTACAGGTATAAGTCACTGGTGCTTCAGTTCCCTATCTGAGTCACTTCTTTTGAACACATGTACTAGTGACAGTGTCCTTTATTTCCACTTCAATCTGGGTCAAAAGCAACAACACACCATACTATCCCTTGGGTGGGTGGTATGCTTGTTTGGATTTAAGACCTCACACTTGCTAAGGAGGTTTTCTACCACTTCAGCTATGTATGCTTTTGCCCTTTTTGCTTTTTTCCCTACTCTTAGATGGGGCCTCACACTTTTTGTCTAGGTCTGGCCTCCAACTATAATCCTTCTATCTTCACCTTTCGCATAGCTGGTATTATATATAGACATGTACCACAACACCCAACTCAAAAGGCATTTTCAATAAAAACTTTCATGTTTTTAAAACATTTTTTTCAGGTTATAATTTTCCTGAAGATGTATTCTCTCTCTCTCTCTCTCTCTCTCTCTCTCTCTCTTTCTCCCTCCTTCTTCCCCCCTGCATCTGTCTCTTTCTCTCTTTTCTTTCTTATACCACTAGGGCTTGAACTCACATTCAACACCTCCACTTCTAGATTTTTACTAGTTAAGTGGGGATAAGAGTCTCACAGACTTTTCTGCCTCAGCTGGCTCGGAACCATTATCCTCATATTTCAGCCTCCTGAGTAGTTTAGGATGACAGGAGTGAACTACCAACACCCAGTGCTCATTTGTTTTCTTTCACTTAATAATGTGTTATGGGAATTTCTCCAGAGATCCCATTATACAATGTTACAGCTGCTTAGTCTGTCTTCCAAGGGTACCATAGTTTTTTCAGTATATGGGTCCCTATTGCTGTAAAGTTGGCTTATTTCCATTCTTTGGTAATTATAAACAATAACCTAAAGAGTAATTCTTACAATTACCATTTCCTATTTATATAGTGTACTTGCCAGATAGATTTCTAGAAACAGAATTGCAGGTTTGAAGGGTAAATGCACTCATCATTGTGTTAGTTACTGACACATTCCTCACACAGGTGTTACCACATTGTGTATATCTACAACACTGCACAACTAACTGGCTTATCTCCTTACAACTTCACTAGCAAAAAGTGTTGCCAAACTTTTAGATGTTTACCAACAGAAGAGGGGAGAGATGCAAATTTTCCAGTTGTGCTTTTCTAACTGTAAGTATGGTTTGGATTGTTTCCAAACCATTTGCATTTATTGGCAACCAATTTGTTCGTGTTCTTTAACTACTATCTGTATTGATCTCTTTTGTTGTTGCTGTTGTTAGTCATGGGGCTTGAACTCAGGGCCTGTGCCCTGTCCCTTAGCTCTTTTGCTCAAGGATAGTGGTCTACCACTTTGAGCCACAGCTCCACTTCTGGTTGGAGTGGTTAATAGGAGATAAGAGTCTCACAGGGACTTGCCTACCCAGGCTGCCTTCCAACAGTCAGCCTCAGATCTCAGCCTCCTGAGTAGCTAGGATTACAGGTATGAGATACCAGTGTCCAGCTGTATTGATCTCTTTAGGCTGGATTTCAGAAACACTATAAAATGAGCACTTGGAATATAGCAGTGAACAAAAGAAAGTGTTCCTGAGGCCTGCTGCCAGTGGATGAGCCCCTTTATGGCTGGTATGACCACAAAGACCTCTTGTCTTCCAATACAGAGGCTAAGGACAGTGTTTCCCCAAATAGGCAATTGTTCATCCTTGCTGTTAAAAACTCATGTGCTCAAGAAGATTTAAAGATGCTGGGTATTGATGGCTCGAAAAAGCCAAGTTAGAGTATAAAGGCCCTGAGTTCAAGTCCCAGTACTGGTGCGCATGCATGCACGCATGCATGTGCACACACACACACACACACAAATTCAAAGAAATGGGGACATGTTAACATTTGTTATTACATGAAAAACAAGCAAAAAAAAAGCAGTACACATAGCATAAAACCAATTGTACAAGACAGGCCTAATCATAATACTGGAAGAACATACCACAATATAGTTACTATATATAGTTATATATATGTTATATATATACAATATAGTTACAATATAGTTAGCTCTAAGCATAGAGATTATGTTATTTTGTTATTTCTCTCATTACTATTTTGCAATTTTTTACAATGGGAAGATATTGCTTTGACATTTGGCAAGAATAAGAATGCTACTTTCTCTTTTGTTCTTTTTATTAAAATTTGTTGTCGTTATTATAAAGGTGATATGCAGAAGGGTTAAGTACATCAAGTATTGAGTACATTTCTTTTTGAACAGTGTCACCTCTTCTCTCACTCTCTCCCAGTTTTTCCTTCCCTTCCCCATCCACAAATTATATCGTTCATTTTCAACAAAGTATACAGTGAGTACCACTGCTGCATTTATTCACTCTATGTTCTTCCATTTCTGTATCCTCCTTACCCCCTCAAGACAGACAAACAAGACAAAAAGGAAAGAAAAAATACTCTTAAGCTGGTGGATGCAATCATTGGAAGATAATTGAATCCCAAAGGCTCTGACAATGAATGGACGAATCAACTAATTGACTCATAATTTCATGGCAGTATCATATTTCATGGCATTATTGGGAGGCAGTAGAAACCTGTGGAAGTGGGCCTTATTGGAGGAAGAGGGTCTTTCGAGCATGTGTTGGGGATACATCATGTCATCTGCCATAAAGAGAGCAGCAATGTTCAACCATCACAGCCCCTCTGCCGTGAGGCTCAGCTTCATCACAGACACAGAGACAACTGAGCAGACAAGCAACTCTGGCCTGAGACCTCTGAAACCATGAGCCACATGCACGCACAGTATACATCCTAAAAGGAGGAGAGAGAAAGAGGAGAAAAACATATTTGACTAATGGTCCCAAACTTGTGACATTTTTGTTTTTGTTTTGTTTTGTTTTCTAAACATATCCAAGAATCCCAACAAACTTTTGAAGAAGACAAACACAAAAGAGATACACACCAAGACACATTACAGTCAGTTCTCCACATGCCAAGACAGATTCTTGAAAGCAGCAAAAGCAGCACTTCATCCCATGCAAATCCCACCCTGAAAGCAGATTTCCCAGCAGTCCCTGGGAAACAATCCAGATGGAATCTGAGGTAACAATCAGACTCCTCAACAGGGCCACCTATTGGTAAATCCAAGTATGAAAGGTGGAAAGGTCTTTAGAACTTTTCAGGTGCCTTCTCCTTTTCATAAGCCTCTTCTCCGGTGCCTCATTTGTGTACACACACACACACACACACACACACACACACACACACACTCCCACCGCCCGCTTATGAGTCAGAAGTGGGAGGGCACAAAGGGGATACTGCAAACAGCACTTGGGTGAGCTATGAGGACGCATCACTGGGGGGCTGACAGGACAATGGCTGCCTGTCCATTGACAGCTACAGCTCTTGCTCATTTGTGAAACAGCTAAGCAGTAAGTACCTCTTTGCTTTCGGTTACTTAGGATTGATTGTAAACCTAATGTTACCCTTAAAAATAAGTCCTTGAAATATGATTGTGAAGGTTAGGTCTGTTTCATCCAGACTTTAATATTGGCATAAGTACATATCCAGTTTTATATTTCCCTTTGTGTCTGGATCCATGCCCACATATTTCAGAAAGTACTTGTCTTTTTATCTCCTTCTCAAAGATGGTTTGGTGGCAACTGGAGGGGAAAGAAAAACTTTTTTGGAGTTCAAGTATTTTCTAATGTTCTAATTCAGGAGATCACCATTCATTCTGCTGATGGTTCTTGAACATCTGTGCTGTGCCCAGAGGCAAAATGTAGCATGGGAGATTTGGTGCTTCCAGTATTCAAGCAGGGTTGAGTCTGAGCTTGGTGAGTGGCTGTCAGGAGAAATTGCCTGGTGACATATCTTATCTGAATCTTGAAGGATTTGCTAGGAAGGGAGGGAAGTGAACTTAGGGTTGGCTGTCCAGTGGGGGGAGAGAGACCTGCATGTTGCATGCTTGGTCTATTTTAAGAATTCTAGAGAAAGAACAAATATATGGCACTAAGAAAATCAAAAGTTTCAAACTTCAATTAAATTTAATTCAATTTAGCCAACATTCTTAGCACAGCTACAGAAAGGCTTTGTATTCAATTCTAGGTTGCAGAGATACAGGAAGCCAGGCACACATGATTTTACTCAAATGGGACAAGTGACAATGGAAGGACCTAGAGACAGATTAAACTAAGGAGGTGGTGAGGGTCCAAGTAGTTTTCAGATGGGAAGAGGAGAATCAGAAAGCCACGTGGTAAAGTGGTTTAAAAAAAATCTCATAAAGGACATTATTTGCTTCCGGGTAAAGGCAGGAAAATGTGGGTTGTGTCCAGCGAATTGAATGTAGCTCATTATGACTGAAACTTAAGAGCTGAAGGAAGACTTGGTAGGAAAGTAAAGGAGAGAGGCAGCAGGGGTCAGGCCATGCATCCTTTGAAAGATTGGGAGTATGAAGAAAGGAGGGCATTGTAGAAACCCCAAGGGTTATTTATTTTGGCGGGGGTAGGGATCTAAGCAGCAGGAGGGTGAGATCTGTGAGGATGAAGCAGGCCACAGAAAGACAGTGGAGGGGAAGATGATGATGAGTAGAGGAAGAGCTTGTGCTGTCATGAAATGTTAACTTTCCTAACTGATAGCACTTGATGGTCCATGAAAAGTCTGATGAGGGAAAGGAAAGGATCAAGGATGAATCCCAGATCTCTGGCTTGTGTGTGATGGGGAGGGGGCGATAGGAATGTCACCAGCCTCCCAAAGCATGCTCACCATTTCTTCATGTCCCCTGACTCACCTTGGTAGTTAAGAGAACTTTTATAGAGTTCAGATATATGGTAGTATGTGGAGATCTCTTTTTCCTTCCTTCCATTTTGTTCCTGTCCTACCACCCTTTCTTCCCTCCCCCTCCTCTCTTCTCCTTCTCTCTCCTCTCCTTTCCTGTCCTCCATTCCCTTTTACTTCCCTCCCCTCTCTTTTCCTTTCTCTTTCCTCCCTTCCCTTTCCTTCCCTTTCCTTTTCTTCTTTTCCCTTCCCTTCCTTTTCCTTCCTTTCCTTCATTTTCTTTCCCTCCCCTTGTCTTCCCTCTCCCCTCTCCTCCCCTTTCCTTTCCTCCGCTTCCCTCCTTTTTCCTCCCTCCCCTCCCCTCCCCTTCCCTTCTCTTCCCTTCCCTTCCCTTCCCTTCTCTTCCCTTCTCTTCCCTTCCCTTCCCTTCCCTTCCCTTCCCTTCCCTTCTCTTCTCTTCCATTCTTTGCTTTCATTTTGTGGTGAACACATTTTTGTAACAAACACACTTCACTACCCAAACAAAGACATAGGACACAGTCAGTATCTCAGAAACCTCTCCCAAGTGTTTATAGAATGGCAGCCTTCACCCATTACCTAGCTCCACCCCACACCTGACTCACAGTGGGACTCATTTCCTTGCTTGCTTTCTTAGCTTTATTACTCAGATATATTCACCCAAACTGCAGAGTTAGTTCCCTTGTTTGGGAACTTCATTCTTAGAAATCCCTTGATCTTGATTCTGTTTGCAACACTATACTTGTAAAATTCCTCCATGTTTTCTCTAACTCTCCATAGACCTCTATGTTTTGTTCTGTTCTATTGTGATGGACATCGGGTCGTTTCCAGGGTGAGCTTTTATGGACAACTCCCATTGAATATGCTTTTGTACCTATACACCCTTGTATGTGAGCTCCCTCAGGGCTCACACCTGCAGAAGAGCTCCTGGTACTACCTTCCTGCTGTTCTGCATTGACATTGTGGGAGCCTTGTTCTGGTTTCACACCCTCATCAGCAGTCAGGCATTCTCATTTGCCTTCTTGCTTTGAACCTCTGTGACCAAAATAGACTCTTCTAAAACAGACTTCTCTAGTCAGCGAGTCTCACCATTCAATGCCCAGGTGGTATGTAGCTGGACATTCTCATATTACCCTGTTATGAGCCAGCCCCACGTGACAGTGCCAAATCCTTATATGAAAATGAAACCCTTCTGAGGTTATGATGCTTTATTATTTAAAAGCATAGCAAAGCCAGGTGCCAGTGGCTCACGCCTGCAATCCTAGCTATTCAGGAAGCTGAGATCTGAGGATCCTGGTTCGAAGCCAGTCCAGGCAGGAAAGCCATAAGACTCTTATCTCCAGTAAACTACTGAGAAATAGGCAGAAGGGATGCTGTTGTTCAAATGGTAGAGTGCTAGCCTTGAGCAAAAAGAAGTTCAGGCACAGTGCTTGCCCTGAGTTCAAGCCCCAGGACTGTCAGAGAGAGGGAGGGAAGAGAGAGGGAGAGATTGAGATAGAAAGGGAGGGAGAAAGAGAAGGAGAGAGAAGAAAAGAGAGGGAGAGAAAGAGGGGGAGAGGGGGAGAGAGGGAGAGAGAGAGGGAGAAGGGGAAAAAGAGGGAGAGCGGGAGAGAGGGAGAGAGAAAGAGAGAGAGAGGAGCAAAACTATTTGTGACCCATATCTTCAGCTGTCATGTTACCCTTCTGTGTTCTGATTCCCTGGTTTAGAATCATCATCCTTGTTGGCTGAGATTGGTCTTGGAGACCTTAAACTTGAATGTATCCCCCAGGCCAAAGCCATGACTGCCCAGCCGGTTTCTCTATCGAAGTTGTCCTTTACACTATCAATGGAACAATGTTTGATTCAATAGTATGGTCCCCAGGGTTACCCCTTAGTGTGTGACTGACAGTCATGGACCTGTTCTCTCTGGTGCCCCCCCCCAAGGGTTTGACCAGCTGACCTGTACTTGACCAACAGCCCCGACCTCCATCACCACCACCTCACCACTCTGGCTGGCTAAGAAGATGTTCCCCTTTAAGATAGGCAAATGGATGGGACTTACTTGCCTCCGGTCCCTGGTGGTCTCCTCTCCAAATGTCCGTCAGAAGAAACTAATCCACAAGCTGCAAGAAGAAAAGGCTTTTCGGGCAGAGATGAAAATGTTCCGTGAGAAAATAGAAGACTTCCGAGAAGAGATGTGGAATTTCCGAGGCAAGATCCGTACCTTCCGGGGCCAGATGTTAGATTTTTGGGAAGAAGAGAGGCCTTTCTGGGAAGAGGAGAAAACCTTCTGGAAAGAAGAAAAAACCTTCTGGGACATGGAAAAAGCTTTTCGGGAAGAAGAGAAAATCTTTTGGAAAAAATACCGAACCTTCTGGAAGGAAGACAAGGCCTTCTGGAAAGAGGACAACACCTTATGGGAGAAAGACCGGAAGCTTCTTCAGGAGGACAAGGCCCTGTGGGAAGAGGAAAAGGCCTTGTGGGTAGAGGAAAGAGCCCTCCTGGAGGAGGAGAAGGCCCTGTGGGAGGATAAAAAGTCCCTCTGGGAAGAAGAGAACGCCCTCTGGGAGGAAGAGAAAGCATTCTGGGTGGAAGGTGGCCCCCACAGCGTGGAGGTACAAAGACCAGAAGATGGGCCCTACGACCTCAACACAGAACCACCATCGCCAGCCTTTTACAGGGGCCGGGCATAGTGAGCATGAGAGATGCAGGCCCTGGGCGTCCACAATCCCCTGGGATGAAGATCCAAGGCCAGGGTGAGCCCACACTCTTGAGGAAATAAGCACTTATTTGTCTCCTTGATTTGAAAGATCTAATAAAGTCCTCAGGAGAAGTTTGAACAATCAGCTCTGGGTGGTAGGCCCGCTGCATTTTTCTTTCCAGATTCTATAATTCTCTAAGGTCCCTTCTGGCTATTGGGGGGTCACAGACCTGGGTGACAAGGGCAGTTTCCAAGGGTGCCTGGCCTGTGCAGATGTTTGGGAGTAGAAACTCAGTGCTATCTTTGTAAGGGTGGGAGCAGCTCACACAAGGCCAGCCAGAGCCACTTAGGGACAGAGAGAGTCTGAGCCAATCTCTGTCCCTGCCAATCATTTCTCCTTCACTCTGCACAGTTTGGGAGGACAGGCATTGTGTTCTTCCTCTTCCTCATCTGGCAGCCCATTGAGAACACACAAGGAGAATGACTTAAAGACCTCACTCCTTGGTAATTCCGAGTCCCCATCCAAGGGGTCAACTGTGAACATGAGAAAGGGCCCCCAACAGTGGCCTGAGGCTCCAGATCTCCCCCCTTGGACGCACTGCTCTTTTCTGATGATGGAGACAAAGTGATGTGGGAGGAATAGGAAGTCCTCTCTGTCCTCCCCGCAGCCCCACATTCCCACCACAAAAATGCTCAATGCATCTGCATTTGTGTACTGTGCTGCCTGCCTTTGGGTTTCCTGCCTCATTGAAAATTAAAATGTCTAAGGGACATAATGCATTAATATACACTAATACAATCAAGATTGTGTGTGTGTGTGAGCGTGTGTGTGTGTGTGTGTGTGTGTGTGTGTGTGTGTGTGAACAAAGACTTGTTCAGGAAATGGCTGTGGCCACACTCCAAACACAGCTGTGAGGAGATTTGTATAGCTATATGCCTATGAGTACTGAATAGTGACCTAACCCAAACTATCATACACAATATTGGAATGTGAGGTGGGACAGAAAGCCTGCCCATTTTTTTGGGGGGGTCTGGTCGTGGGGCCTGAACTCTGGGCCTGGGCGCTGTCCCTCAGCTCTTCAGCTCAAGGCTAGCGCTCTACCACTTGAGCCACAGCACCACTTC